ATTGCTAATGCCTGCTCAAATAAAAGCTGTAGCCTCAGGTGCAGTGGATGACTGGTCTCGGTGGGTGGATCTGTACATTTAAAAATAGCTAGAAAAACAATCTGTGGGGTTGCAGAATATGAGGAGAGAGACCAGGAGTTGCCACGAGATGGCAAAATTCCCCTAAGAAAGGTCAGCTTGATTAGTGAAACAGCAAGGCTATTAAAAAGAGAGATGGTCATTAATACCTCTGGGGTGAAGAACAATGAGCAATCATTAAGTCAATGGGCTCCCTCAGCTACCTGAATAGAAATGCCACAGTTGCAGGCTGGAGCAGGGATAAGAGTAGAGTGCTTCTGTGCAGGGCAGAAGATCAGCTTCCCCACTTAAAACATACACCCTGATTTGGGGGAGGGGGGTGATTTAGTGGAGGTGTGTGTTGTATGTGAGAAAATATGGTACATTTCAGTGTATCAGTAATTTGTTTAAAAAGACACAGTGTATGTGAGTAAATACGGTAAAGCCTGGCCCAGGTGCTATATTTGTGATCAGTGGAGGGAAATATGGGTCCTTGTCTCTGGTAGGGGTCACCTACCACCACTTGGCTTTGGTTAAAGCCTTCTGGACTCTGTGGTGTAGACTGGGAGACCCAGTTGGGGACTGAACCCAGGAGTCCCTCGACAGCTGCTACTGCTCAGTCCCAGCTCCCCACAGAGCTTGGCATAAATGCCAGGCCCCACTGCTTTACAGCAGGGCTGGTGGTGGCCACCAGGCCTCAGTGTCCTATCATGTGGTCTATGAACTCATGATGACACTTCCCTGTCACATGGCACATGAACCTGTGATGTCATGGCCCCATTACAGTGCCCACAAACTCGTGATGTCACTGCCCTGTCACATGGCCCATGTACTCACTTCTTTGTCACATGGCCTGCAAACTCATGATATCATTGCCCTATCAGTAGCCCTTGGACTCACGATGTCACTGCCTTGCCATGTGTAGCCTTTGAAACTATAACATCACTGCCCTGTCATGTGGCCCATGGACTCACATTGCCACTGCCCTATCATGTAGCCCGTGAGCTCATGGTGTCACTGTGGCATAATGTAGCCTATGAACTCATAATGTCACCTCCTTGGCATGTGACCTATGTACTCATGATGTCACTGCCCTGTCATGCGGTCCATGGACTCTACTGCCTTGTGTCATGGCCCATGGGCTCCAGCTCACCCCTCCATGTCTCCATCTCACCCTCTCCTATGGTGCCCGTCTGGCTCCCTGACCTCCCTGCCCATGTCTTCCAGGTGAACGGGCTCTTTGTGAAGCTCCCGGCACAGGTTTCCAACACTGTGTCCCTGAATGAGTCCCAGGGCAGCATCACCATCACTCAGGTCTCAGGGGTGCAGGTCACATTCAGCCCTGAAGGGGAGGTGACTATAATTGCCAGGGAGAACCTCATCAACAAACTCTGTGCACCATGCGGGGACTTCAATGACAACGTCTCCGATGATCTGCGACTGCCCAGTGGAAGGGTTGTGGGGACCATCGCAGAGGTCATCGATGCTTGGAAGGCCAGAGACTTTACGGGGTGGTGAGTGTCCCACTGACATGGTCCTTTCCAATGACACACAGTGCTGGTTCTCCAAGGGTGGGATTGTCCCACGGGCTGGCTTGGGGACCCCAAGAAGTTGACCTAGAAATGGGTCCAGTGTCCACCAGCCTCTGTGGATGGAAACTCAGTGGGCATTTTCCATCTTTTCTGATTTTGTCCGCAGTGACTGACACCCAAAAGGCAAAGAACATCTCTGGTAAGTGACTCTTCTCTTCCCACCAGCTCTTCCTCCCATACTGAGTTCTCCGTGCTCCACAATGACCATCTCAATGCTCAGATGCTCCAACTGGGCTAGTGGATAAATCTCTTTCACCCACTGGAGCACTTGAGGCTAACTCTGGGAGCTAACACTATCAACTACCTGTCACACCATCCTAGGGAAAGTTAGGCTGGAAGGGACCTCACAAGCCACATCTAGTCCAGCCCCCTGCTCAGTGGAAGACAAGCCTTGATTCAACCATCCCAGCCATGTGTCTGTCCAGCCTGCTCTTGGACCTTCCCAGGGGTGGAGACCCTACAAGTTTATAGGTGCCTGTTCCAATGACACTCAAAGTCAGGAAGTTCTTCCTCATCTCCAGCCTCAGTTTCCCCTGCTGCAGTTTAAGGTCATTGCTCCTAGTCCCCTACCCTGCCACTACAAAGGAAAGACCATCTCCATCCTTAGATTACGGATTGTCTGGGATGGTTTTGATGGGGATAATCCTTCTTCAGGAAGGGGGTTGAACTAGATGTGACCTCTGGAGGTCCCTTCTAGCCCCACATCTCTAGGATTCGGTGATTCTCTCTCTCATCACACTTCAGGGTTTTGATGACTGTGATTAAATCCCCCCATAGTCTTCTGTACTCCACACTCAATCCCCCCAGCTCTTCCAGCATTTCTTTATCAGTTTCCTTCTCAGGTCCTTAAACCCATTGGCTGCCCTGTGCTGGCCTCTTGCCCATCTGTCCATCTCCTTCTTGAAGTGCGAGGTCCAAAACTGTACACTGGACTCCAGGCGAGGCCTCCCCAATGGTGAATAGAGCAGGAGACTCACTGCCCTGGATTTGCAAGAGACACTCCTGCTAATACAAGCGGGGCCCCACCCACATTCCAAGCCCCACCCCTTTATGGGAGGGGCTTCTCTTAAGGGCACAGGCCCACATGACTCCCTAAAGGGTGGAGAGGACCTTATTCATGTCTTCCTGGGGTGATGGCATTGAGTTCAGGGGGTAGAGGGTGGTGGCTTCACTCCACAGCTCCCGTCCTTCTAAGACAAAAGGGTTGGGGAGGGAATAGCTGAAGGCAAGTGGGAAGCTGGAGGCATAGGTATGGGAGGGCCAAGGTATGGCACTAGAGGGAGGATATAAGGGGTCTATGGAGCAGTACCAGCATACTGTATTTCAATGCATACCACACACCTCCAAAACAAGACCTGCACTTGCTGTAGGCAGGTGATCCATGACATTCCATAGAGTTAGTCCTCCTGGAAACAGAGAGTAGCCAGGAAGTATGGTATCCCAGGGACAATGTAGGCAAGGCAGCAGGAACTTCTTGGTGTAGCCACAAGGTTAGGCTCAGCCCCTTAAAAGGCCAGTAACTGGACTGTGACATCTTCACCGCGAATAATTGTTAATATTAGCATCTGTGAATAATAAAGTGCCGTCTCCACACCACCCTCTTCATCAAAGCATTCCAGATGGCAGGCAGCAGCTCACCTGGCATGTAAAGCAGAAATGGGGGGGAGGGGACAACCAGCAAAACCCAGAAGCCTGGGACATCCCCATAGCAGAGCACAGGCATCACTAGGCCTAGATCATCACCAACCAGTGGCTGTCCAGCCTCCTCTTGAATCCCTATGGTGATGGAGAGTCCACATCTTCCCCAGTCTCTCTCCACTGCCTTCCAGTTCTAAGGGAAAAGAAGTTTTTCCTGAGATCCACTCTAACCCAACTCTCCTGCAACTTCAAACCATTGGTCTGTGTCCTACTCTCTGCTGCCAGTTCCTTAGCAGCTGTGAGAGGGTTAACACAAGTCTCTGCCCTTTCTGCCTTGCCGTGGCAGCCATCTTATCATAGATTCATAGAGAAGTAGGGCTGGAAGGGACCTCCAAAGGGCATAGAGCCATAGTCATAGAGAAGTAGGGCTGAAGGGGACTTCCAGAGGTCATAGATTCATAATCAGAGAGTCAAGAAGTGGGGTTGGAAGGGACCGCCAGAGGTCATAGAGTCCTAGTTGTAGAGTCAGAGAGAAGTAGGACTGGAAGGGATCTCCAGAGGTAATAGAGTCATAGTCATAGAGTCAAGGAGAAGTGGGGCTGGAAGGGACTTCCAGCGGTCATAAAGTTGTAGCCACAGAGTCACAGAGAAGTAGGGCTGGAAGGGACCTCTATTGGTCATAGTGTCATAGTCATAGGGTCAAGGAAAACCCAGCCTGGAAGGATCCTCTAGATGTCATAGAGTCATAGAGAACTGGGGACCTCATAAAGAAGAGGTCACATCTAGTCCAACCCTGCATCTGAGGCAAGATCTGCACCTTCCAGTCAACCCAAACAAATCCATTGTGTAACCTACCATGAAAATCACACAAATCAACTCTGCCACACAACCACAAGACCTCACACACCCAACCACCCCAGGGAAAGCAGGGGGGACCACGGTGGTCAATGTCCTGCGGCCGCAGGAGCTGTCAGAGCACAATGTCTCCATGCTTCTATTCCAGAGAGGAAATACTGGCTTCTCTGCTTAGGAGACTTACCCTGATTTTGCAGGGCTGATATTTTGAGGGGGGTGGGGGGGCGGCAGGGGGAGCTGCGTGCTGTATGCATGTAAGAATGGTAGCAGGGGCTGGTGTTGGTACCTAGGCATGTTCATAGGGGGGAGGGACATGTGACATGGGGGCCACGCTGACCCTGGTGGAAGGTGGGTTTTGGGGGGTGGAATTTGGGGGGCAGCTGGGAGCACAGGTAGAGGGAGGGTCCAGCTCACCCCAGCCATGTTCTCTCTTCCAGCCATGCCTACAGCCACATACGAACCAACGTGGAAGCCCCCGTGTACCCTCCGCCATAGGTGGTGTGGAAGCACAACATGCAATGTGAGCAGAACCCATCTCCACCATGGGCCTCAGCTGCCTCTGTCCTCTCCATTCCCCAGAGACCAGCCTGCCAAGATGCACAGCCAGGCTGCGACCCATCAAACACTTGGCTTCTCTAGCTTTGGTAATCACAGCTTGCACGTGTGTGGACACGCAACTCACCCACGCGCACTTGGGTCACAGCAGGCTGGGGGAGGGGTTGGGAGGGAACATAGCCCAGGTTGTCACATATGAACATGTCAGTGTGATCATGCTTGCTGTACGTGTGCACGCAATCCCATGCGCGCGCGCGCGCGCACACACACACACACATGAAAACAAAACCCAGGCATCCGGGACATACACATGCACAGATATCTATGCATGCACACACACAGAACCCAAGTGTCCAGGACACATGGACACACACACACACATATCCACACATGCACACACACAGAACCCAGGTATCCAGGACACACACACACACACATAGGCAGGTTTGATCCTGCTCAGCAAAGGGCACTGTGTGTGCATGCATGTGCGCGCGTGCGCGCACACACACACACAAGCACAATCACGCACAAGCACAAGCACGCACACAGGCACACAGGTGACTGTGCACATGCATTAACACAATCACATGCTTCTGTGTGCACAACCATGCCCTCACAGAAACATGCATACTCCCCAAACATACATGCACACATATTCACATGATGATACACTTGTGTTTGCACAATCACACCTTCACAGACACCTGCACATGTGTACACACATACACATGTAGACACACAGAACCCAGGCATCTGGGACATGGACACACACACACATGCACATAGAGTTGTGCACAAAGAACATAGGCATACCCAATCCTATTAAACTGGGGACAGAGCATACATGCAAACACACGTGTGCACATATACAGATACACCCACATGTGCATAACACACATGTGCACACAGTCCCACCCCCCTGCTTGTACGCCCACCACCCTGCCTGCCTGCCCGTGCACACACCTGCTGTACATAAAGCCTGAACGACCCCCATGTGGGAGTCCCCTCCAGCCTAGCAGAGCAGAAATGTCCAAGGAATTAGAGGCTGGACCCAGCCCAGGGGATTTGGACACCTCGCTCCTCCATGGACACTGGGGGGCTTCTTTATGAATCACACCAGATATGGCAAAAGAGATGGGTTCTCCCAGCCTTGGCCTTGTTCTGACTCACTCCAGTGGCCAGTGGACAGAGCAATAAAGCCTTCCAGAAACCTTTGCTCTCCAGATTGCTTTTGGGGTTAGGGGTGTTGGTCACATGTCTGTTCTTCACCGTCCATCCCACACCTCTTCCATCGCTCCCAGGGCAGCCAGCACCATGCTCCCCTTACCCGGAGATTCCCCATGTCTAACACCTCCATGAATGGATGCGTTAACACACACTGGGTGCATCTACATGTGCCTCTTCTAAGCGAGCTTAGCCTAAAATCACCATTAAGGGCACACATGTCTACAAAGGCACATTAAGTTTGGGTGCACATAAATACAGGTGTAGACATGCCACTCAAGATCTGCTATCAACACTAGACATCACACCCGAACCAGTCACCAGGAAAAAGGGGGGACCATGGTGGCTAACGTCCCACATCTGTAGAAGGTTGTTAATATACACTCAAGAGATCCCAGGTAGAGGCCCTGCCCCCGCTACAGAGGAAGGCAGCACCTTCCCAGTCTGTACCAATTTGACGGGGGAGGGAGAGTGGGGGGAAATGGCTTCCTGACCCCAAATCTGGCATCAGTCTGAGCCTGAGTGGAGGAGCAAGGCCTTCTAGCCAGGACCCATCAGCCACACACGATGTCTAGTTAACTGGAGGAACCCATTTCTGCAGGAAGAGCACAGCCAGGGTCAACAAGGGTCTGGATAGGCACATGGACAATGGGTCTGTTCATGGCTGTGGGCCAGAAGGGCTGGAGATGTTTCCTCTGGGATCTCTAGACCAATAACAGTGGATGTCAGGAATGGGGATAGATCACTCTGGTTCCATGTTCTTCCTCAGTAGCATCCATTTCTCCCAGTATCAGAGATGGGAAACTGGGCTAGATGGACCATTGGGTCTGCCCTGGTCTGGCACCATTTATCCCTCATTGTCCATCCACCACCTTGGACTTTGGACTCCAGCTTGAACTCGGCCTGCTCCCTGCTTCCCCAATTCTGGTCGGTCCCTTGGATTGGGATTTGGTTCCTGGATCTTGGCTTCAGATCCCTTTGGTCCCACACCTACCCACTAGGCCGGATGTCCCTTTGTGACAATATTGTCAGAAGCTCAGAAAGCAGGCAAGATAATTAGCCTCTAGCTGGCCCTCATTACCTGAATGGCCCTGGCTACTGGCATAGCCTGTGACTCCTCCAGATGCCAGCCAAGACTCTTGGCCAACAACTGGTCTAGATCTCTCTTCCCTCAGGCTAGCCAGGTCTCTTCCAGTCTTCAGCCTCTGAACTCTATTTGAAACTCAACCTTGTCTGTTCCTGATCTTCTGGGCCAGAGGTTTTCAACCCTGGGGGTACTTGGGAAGGCCTCAGGGGGTACTCGGCAATGAGCGCTGCCGCTGACACTTCTGTCACTGACCCTTCTGCCACTGTTGTGGGGGGACTCCTTCCTTCTCGACTGGCCGCCAGGGGTACACTGATCCAAAAAGGTTGGAAATCCCTGTTCTGGATTGTGACACTAGGGTGGTGGTTTGAGACCCCAGTCCTCCTCTTTCATTAGACTTGAGGCACCTGCCATGGAAAATGCCACCTCTTTGGCTGTACTACTTTTTGCCAACGGAAAATTACCAGAGGAATTCTGCTGCAAAGAGCTCAGACAAGGGCACCACACGCTCGTCTAGTCATAGAAGATGAGGGTTGGAAGGGATCTCAGGTCACCTAATTTAGGTAGGTCCCTAATAATGACAGTGGGGTGAAGGAAACCCTCTTGTTTGACTATTTTTTGCTTAATTTGTTGGATTAAAAAACCCCCAAACCTTTAGATATAAGCAAGCCAACAAGAGCACATTCCAATCATGTTAAATTGGCTTTTGCTTTGATCTTAAACTGAATAACATTGTGCTAGCCCGCCTAGCGCAGGGGTGCTTCACCTCCCATCCATGGGCCAGATTGGCACCATGTCATCTCACCCATGGGGCTCCTCTCTGGTGTGGGAATTTGGCAGTGGAGAGCTGGCATGTGTTACTATGTGTGGAGGCAGCATGTCATCTACACCCTGCTTTTCAAACTCCTAGATCTGCCTGGGAACAGCTTATTCCTGCCCAGAGCCCTGCCTCACCACAGGTCTTTTCTGCAGTAGGCAAGAGAGCCTGAAAGAGCACATTGGCTAACGGGTTTATTCGCAGGCTGAGTTTTTACAATTCCCTTTTCATCACATGTCCTGCAGTACGGAGGGCTTCTGAGAGGCAGAGCCAGGCACAAAGGGGCCTGTGTCTGTGTGTGTGTATTTGAGTGCATGTAGGTGTGTATGTGTGTATATGTGTGTGGGTGTTTGCATATCTGGGTGTGTGCATGTATCTACAGGCATGCATGTTTGTGTGCATGTGTGTGTATCTGTATGTGTGTGTGTGCATGTGGGCTTGTATTTGTGTGCACGAGGGTGTGTATGTACATGTGTATTTGTGTGATTGTGGCTGTGTATTTGGGTGTGTGTATTTGTGTGTGTGTGTGTGTGTGTGTGTGTGTGTGTGTAAATGTGTGTGTATGTCTTCTCTTCTCCAGACTCAGTAAGCCCAGTTCTCTCAGCCTCTCCTCGTAAGTCATGTCCCCCAGCCCCCAAACCATTTTTGTTGCCCTCCACTGGGCTCTCTTCAATTTGTCCACATCCTTTCTGCAGTGGGGGGGCCCAAAACAACACAGGGCTCCATGCGTGGTCTCACCACAGAAGATGATAGCTTCTCTATGATTCTGTGACCTCTGGACGTCCCTCCCAACCCAGCTTCTCTTTGACTCTATGATTCGGTGACAATGGAGGTGTCTGCGATGGTTCAAATAGGACTGATGCTGCCCCATGCAGGGGGTTGGACTAGATGTGACTTTGGTTTTGTCTTATAAACTCAAATTGAAATTGGCTTTCTTTCATTTTGTAAATTCAAATATAAATTTGTTTGACAAATCGTGTTGTCTTATAAATCCATATATATATATATAGGTTTGCTTTTGTTTTATAAATCTGAATCAGAGAAGAAAATTTAACTATAAGGGCAACAGCACTAATGACACAATCTTTTTATTATTTTGGCTCTTTTTTGTCTAGTTTGTTAGGTTTGTGTGTGTATATATATATATATATATATATATATATATAATCTAGCAAATTTGTGCATGTTCCAATAGTTATATTTGTTTTTCCTTTGAACTTAAGCTTTGACTTAAACTTAAGCTAGTTTGACTTAAACCTAAGCTAGTGCTAGCCCCCTAGCGTATTAGTAAAGCACCTAGTTTCCCTTTAAGTGGAGAAAAATATGTCATGTTAGATGTCATGATGCACCTTGCCACCTGAACCCCTCTGTTGGGCTGGGAGGGACCTCCAGAGGTCACAGAGTCATAGACATAGAGTTATGGAGAATTAGGGCTTGAAGGGACCTTTGGGGATCATGCAGTCTTAGTCACAGAGAAGCAGGGCTGGATGGGACCTCCAGAGGTCATGGAGAAGTAGGGCTAGAAAGGACCCCCAGGGTTTGTACAGTCATAGAGACATAGAGCTAGAAGAGACCTCCAGAGGTCATAGAGTCATAGTTATAAAAAAGAGCTGGAAGGGACCTCCAGAGGTCACATCTAGTCCAACCTTCTGCCTGAGGCAGGACCAGCCCCATCCAACACATCCCAGACACATCCAGCATTGAATCTCTGTGTAAAACTACCATCAACCCTGACATAACCCTAGGCCTCACACCCAAACCTGCCCCGGTAAAGCAGGTGGACCACAGCAGCCAACCTCCTGCTGCTGTAGAAGAACTTTAGCCTCTTTTCGGTGGGAACGTCCCTCCTCTTATCCCTCTCAGCCCTGCTCTAGATACAAGCCGAAGGAAGAAGTGTTGACAAGTGAAGAAGGAAGTAGGTGGTGTGATGGCTGAAACCAGGAAGAGACAACTTTGGGACACCCAACGAATACTCAACTTGTTTTTGAAAGGCCTCCAGGAGGCTGGATGTAGGCAGGAAGGAGGAAGTGAAGAAGGAAGGAGATGGGATGATGACCAAAACCAGGGAGAGACAACTCTGAGACATGCAATGAGACAATGACCAAGAACAGAGCAATGGTTGAACTGACTTAGACCCACCCCATATGCTCCCGGCTGATGGTGACGTTGACCTCATGGACTCTGACCTCCACCACTGTGGTGAAGGACTGGGTCATGAGGTCTTGGTTGTCATTCTGGACCAAGACCTGGAAGTCCACCCAGTCTCTGGGCTTCTTGCGCAGCCTGGCAAGCTGATACAGACAGCTGCCATGGAAATTGAATTTCTGCCAGTCAAAGGTGATGTAGTGCGGGTCCCCAATGGACGTGCAGGTGGTGTAGTTGGCGGGATAGCATCCTTGGATTCCCTTCTCCACCTATCACTCCTCCCTAGTTTTGCAGCTCACCTCCTGGCAGTCGATGTGCCTGATTTGGGGGTTGCAGAGGCACCACATGCTGCAGGCTCGGTCCCCCCAGAACTGCTCCCCAGGGGAATAGACACGCCCCTCAAACTCACAGCCACAGGGAACCTGGAGCAGGCACTTCCTGCCATCCAGCATGAAGCCCTCCCTGGACTCAGGTCTCCATGCAGGGCAGGGAGTAGTTCTTTGGGGCCAGCAGGTTGTTGCAGGTCACGAGGCAGGCGGAGCTGCAGAACTTGTATTGCCTGTCCTCTGGGAAGGCCAGGGAGGGATGGGACAGCGGGGGTCAGGAGGGGAGAGTGCCCTGATCCACCAGGGCCCATCTTCTGGTCCAACCTACCCATGGGTGATCCAGAAGTAGACCCCCAACCCCCAACCCAGGTAGAGATTTTGGGGCATGTGAGGGCCATGTTGGTGGCAGGAAGTGGAGGGGGGAATGAAAAGGTGACAATGAGCATGGAGAGGAAGGGGGAAGATGTCGAGGGGAGGTGGAGGGGGGTTTCTTACCTGATTTGGGTACCTAAAAGTCCCTGGCTGCTGCTCCTGGCTGCCTATCCTGGCACCCCTAAAGCTCCCATCCTATTCATGGGAAGACCATTTCACCAGTCCCCTCCTGAGCTAG